ACATTGAAAGAAATGTGCTCTGCTGAAGATGCATGTTTCTCGCTAAAATGTGCATATACCTTTGCTGAAGTACCTATAAAGTCACAGCCATGGGAAGGACAAAAACAAGGCACATAGATTCATACATTTTCATGGTCAATTTTCTTACTAAGATTCAGAATCTCCTTGCAACCATACCTATTGTTCACGCCTGACACTTTCAGAGATTCTAGAACATTCTCCATAGCTTGACAACGGTTATATCCAATTGGCAAACAACATGATGGACACTTATTAGCAATCTTGATGCAGCAAGGGGCACATGCTATGTGCCCATTCCCACACTATATTTTTGTCCAGAAAGAAAAAAGGATGTCAGAAAATATATTCATTGCAAGCAGTTAGAATGTTTGCAGATGATAGCTTACTCTACTCTGCATGCTTATAAATTTTCAAGGTTTATCTAAGTACATAGCTTAAGAAGTAGGGATAAAGAAAAATGTGTTACATGGAAAGCGTAAACAAATCGTACTTAAATTTCACTATTTAGCTCTTTGTATTAGCATTTGCCGTAAACCTAGAGTCATGGCTTTAATTTCTTGCTTCGTCCAAAAGACTCAATAATTTCATTTAAAACACGCTCATGCATTAAAATGTCATATTTTGTTGCAATAACAACAAATTGATTACCAATAGCTATATTCAACCTTAGATGAAAAAAGACATAAATTAACCACCCTGGCAAGGAGAAGGACGTAGAATTTAGGATCTGAACCTCAGTTTAGTATGCTTTTAAATGCAGTAACAAGATTAAATCTTAAGTTACCGTGAGCTAAAACCAAGAGTTCTAAAAAGAGGCCTAGGTACATAACTTCTATCAAGATAGATCTCCAACAAAGGAATAGTATACAATTAATAACTTCTATCACGATAGTATACAATTAATAACCTCTATCACGATTGATCTCCAAAAATGAAATAGTATACGGTTAATAACTTCTATTAGATAGATCTCCAAGAAGGAACAACAAACAGTTAATAACTTCTAATCACTGCTCATACCCTAATCCTTTGTGGGGCAGAGGCACTTCAAGTTCTATATCTCAATCTAAATCTGAAGCTGTTTGAAGCTGTCTCTTGATTACATATTAACATGATGAAGAACCAGATCTACCCTATCAACGAAGTCTACTTTGAATACCCTGGCACGGAATCCTGGGGTATGGCACATGCTCTTTCCACTCTACTTAATTTGGTCTCCCTTTGGATGCAAAATGCAAAGCACATGAGATATGAAATGTAGTGATGGAAAAGGTGGAGAAGACGCTGGCAAACTGGAACATGCAATATCTATTTATGGGAGGAAAGCTAACCCCATCAATAGTGTATTGGACAGCGTACCTACCTACGTCCCTCATCCCAATGTCATATAAGGTGAAAGAGCAACTAGTTGGTCTGAGAAGGGCTTCCTATGGGAAGGAAACCGTGAAGAGCATTAATTCCACCTTGTGAAGTGGGATAAAGTCTTATTGTCAAAGGAACAGGGAAATTTGGGCATTAGCGATCTTTAGAAACACAACAATAACATTAAGGGAAGAAACTATCTCACCAGATATTTTGCAAGAAAAAAGCCTAATTACAATGTAACTTAAGCCCAGATTAAATCGGGATGCAAAAAGAAGAAACCCATTTACAATGACACCCATTTGTAATCTCTAGTCAGAATGAGATTAACTTGATTGAACCTGGTAGCCATCTCCCCACTTAAAGTGTCTTATTATTCTCCACCATAACCCAGTGCTTCCTCTAACTTGAATATTACGCCATCAAGACTATGACTTCACCAGTAAAACAAAGACCTATATTAGCCAGTTATTCTCCAATTTGAATGAAATGTTATAACTTCAAAATTAGAACCACATGAGATGGGATAAGCACAGTCATTCCACTGTCAGCAATTCTCCCAACTAAACTCTTTAACAGATCCACATTTCCTATGCTTTTCCAATGCAATACTGAATGCTAAGTAATCATATTTCTATTATCTGACATGTCTGCTCTACTTCTATATTTTATTTTTTAAAACCGCCTCCACCAGGCACGGCTAAAGTCTGCGTAAACTCTATCCTCCCAAACCCCACTGTTGGATTAACAAAAACTGTAACTTTTACACCCTAAGAGCAATAAAGTATATTGGTAAGATTATAAATGTCAATACAAATTCCCTTCTATTCAAGACCATGTCTTCAAAAACCTCTAAAGGAAAATTAAGAATTCTCCAAACACAATTAATTCCAACACAGATAAATTCTTATACTCCTAATAGCAATGAAAAGGGTAAAAAGAAGAAACCTGAAAGACAGGAACACAGAGATGTTCAAAGCAGATCGGGCAATCCAACACATCCGGATCCAATAACGTCACAGAAATTGACCTGTTTATGATTGAATCCTCAAAATTCTGATACACGCTCTCACCAGAAATAGACCTGTTCTTTCTTAAAACCTCGGATTCACGAACTGGCACCCTCCGATCACCGCTCGATCGGAAATTTCCCTCAGATTCCGATCCCCAATCCTCCTCCTCTACTTTTTCCTGAACAACCCTTTCCCTTTCTCTTTCTTCTACTTCTTCTTGTTGACGGATTACGACGCCGCGAGAGAAATTTCCGGCGGTAGTCCTCCGTCTCTTGCATACAGATGTGCTGGAGTTACAGGGTCCTCCTTCATCATTATCATGTTCATCTCTTCCAACTGAAAATCTCGCCATTTCTTCTTCTTCTTTGCTGCTAGATGAATGGTTCACTCTTATCATGGTCAAAATTCGGTTTTTGTAAATATTATTTTAATATCTTATTATATTATTATTATTATCATATATTTATACTATTTCTTTAAAATAACCTATGGGATGTTTTTGCAAAATTTGGTTACAAAATCGAATGTGGTCAAATACTTAAGAGTTGAATTTAATGTTTTCTTGAAAATGTGTTTGACTATGAGGTAATAGTTTTATTTAATTTATAAATAAGTTGTATAGAATTTATCTTTTTTAGTTAAGAAAATGAGTAATTAGATTACGAAGAAATTTAATTAATGATTAACTTTATTTGAATATGTATTTTTTATGTCACATTAGTACATTGAACTTGGGTGGTGTTTGATTAAGACTGTTTGAATTGACTTGTTTTAAGTGTATTTAACTAAAAAAATTGTAAGCACTTTTGAAGTATTTAGGTAAATTAAAAGTGTTTATACATTACTTTCTCCGTTTAAAAAAGAATGGTCTAGTTTGACTTGGATGGAGTTTAAGAAAAGAAAGAATTTTTTTTGATCTTGTGGCTCTAAATTAAAATTTATGACAAATATACCAAAATGCTCTTTAATCTTGTGGTCTTAAATATGTCATGTGAAAAGTTAAAATTAAAGTTTTTCCAAAAATTAAAAAGGGGTCATTCTTTTTGAAATATACTAAAAAAATGAGATCATTCTTTTTAAAACGGAGAGAGTATTGTTTTGCTTCACGAATTAAGAAAATGGGTAATTGGACGACGAATTATGGTTTACTAAGAAATTTATTAAATGATTATGTCACGTTAATACATTAAATTGGTCGGGGTTTGATTAAGAGTGTGTTTGAATTAACTTGTTTTAAATGCTTTTAACTAAAAAATTTGTGAGCAATTTTGATGAATTTAGGTAAATTAAAGTGTGTATACAGATTATTCTTTTGCTTCATAAATTAAGAAAATGAGTAATTAGATTACCAATTATGGTTTATTGAGCACTTTATTTACTGATTTACTTTATGTGAATATATTTATTTGTCATTAGTACATTGAACTAGCAAGCAATATATAGTTGTAATTAACTTCTTTATGCCTTCAGGACGAGATATTTTTCCCATTTCATTAATACTGTCTGATTCCATGATAAGTGTTCCAACTAATGCATTATAATATAGAACTAAAGATTGATCACGTGATAATTTGAGTTAAAAAAAAATAATAGATAAATTTTGGCTTTGAGGCGTGAAGAATCACTTTCTTTCAAGAGTCATAGGGACTACAAGTAATTTTTTTATCAGAATACATCAAGGCCTGAAACCTATGTGCAATTGAATATGCTGATAGAGAGGGTAAAAGTCCCACATTGATTGGGCAGTGGACTGGTGGTGGTGTCCTCAAATGGACTATGAAATCCTTCCTTCATGAGATAGTTTTTTGTATTGAGTTATGTTTACGTGTCATATCTTTACATAATATCAAGGTTAGATCCATCATCGTTTGAGCTCCTGGTTCGCTGGTCAGTTTGGAAATCTATACCTAATGAACAAGCTTTTAGGGTTGAGTTAGACTCAAGTAGTGTCATATTTATTACAGACACGACATCCAGAAGTTCACTAATTATAGAAGCAATCAAGGAAACCTTTTCGATAAAAATCTCATTTAATCTCATTTTTTGAATCGATACAACCTCTGTGTTCAATTAATCTATTTAAATATTATGACATTCATATTTATAAGTTCATATTTATAATAACTTATTTCAAGAATGATCTATTATATTTCTAACCATTAAGTGAGTCAAATTTTATCACATAAATTGAAAGAAGTGAGTTATTACTATAAATTGTAACGAAACGAGATGACAGACTTCATTATGTTCATAACTAATAAATGAGATAAGATGTTTTACTCATCTAACTCAATTACATAAGGTTGAAAGCCAAGTTGGATATCATCATCTGCTTGTCCTCCTTACATGAGTAGTGCTTCTTTTATGTCTTAAAGGCGCCTTTGACAATAAAGGAATCAAGACGGAGGCATGACTACAAGGCACTTGGCAATGGTCACAATATTTTTATTCCACCTTTTTAAAATTGTCCCACATTTATAGAACGAATGAGGTATAGATCTTGCACATTTTGCGCCTCATTATCTTGCCTGTATCAATGAAAGGTCAAAGATTCAAATCTTTACAGGGTAACAAAGTAAGACATGCCATTTTTGTATCTATGAAACTTGTGGGAACCTCGATTAATTCACACTCAAAATTAAGTCTAGCCTTGGTTGCGAAAATGAATATTTTTTTCAAGGGAATGAAATTTAATTTGTCTTCTTACATTGTATTTTAAGAAATTCTAATTGATTAAGACTAAAAATCGTTCTATTTAATTCCACAATTGTAAAGGAGGGAAGTAGAGTAGCACTAACATTGAGTTGGAATTTAGTCAGTGAATTCAAGATTAAAAAGAGAAATTAAACAAAGAGATGGGATTAAAGCATTTATGAGACGCCAATATACAACTATGCCATGTTTAGGCACAAAATAAAGTTTTTGGAAAAAGTAATTATGTTTTCATGATTCACGATACAAAAGAGGTAGACCTGAGATTTTTCCCTAATAAATTCAATGAAGAAATGAAATTAAATATTTGACCATAAACTTTGGATTAAATTTTAAAAATCTATGCTTGGATAATTTTCAAGTTTCAAAATTTTGTTCTTGTCGAAAGAATTTTCACTTTCACTCACAAATATTCAATTTATTTCAAGTAAAATGTACATTCAAACATAAAATCAAATTTCAAAATATGACAACTTCAGAAATTCAAATTTTTAAATTTCAACTTTAAAATTTATGCTCAAATTAACAGGAATATCATGCACGACACTTTATAGTTCTCGTGATTCTAACATTTTGGTGGTATGAATTTCCAAACAAGTCTACTTTGAATTACGAGTGTGAGGCAATCTTAAATGACCTCATTTCAGGAAATACTTACGGTTTGAGGTGTGTCGATGACAATGTCCTTAAAAATATATTTCACTTGATTTAAGTACATATTCTTGAATTTAACAAGCTCTTCTATATAAATATGAGTGAAAATATTTAATTAGAAATAAATCCAATACATTTATAGAATATATGGGAGAAGAAATGAATCTTCATCTTTACTCTCATTAGGAGAAAAAACTACCATAAATTACATATATAATTATAAAGCCAGATACAGACCAGATGATGTGACATATCTCTTGGTATAGAAAATTACTACGATCTTTTATATTACATTTTTTTTGAATTTTTTACTTCATTATTTTCATTAATCAATTCGTTTGATATTTATAAAAAAATCTTACACCTAAATAAATCTCATGAGTTATATAAAAAACCATATACCATTGTATTCTCACTTAATTAACTACATGTCATCTTAATTCCCTTCTATCTAATTCTTGTATCAAACTATAAATATCAATTATGTATGGAGTTGTTGGATAGTTATTTTCATTTTTTCCTTTTTAATAAGTATCTTTTTTTCCTTTATTTTTCTATGCTAATGTATTTTCTAATTAATAGAAAGGACATAAAAAAAGGTTACGTGAAAATATGGCCATAACATAGATGAGTATTGAGTTTGAAATGAACATGATAAACGAACACATTTTCTTTCTTGGACTACAAATTAAGCAAACACCTACTGATTTCTAAGGGGCAGAGTAGCCTTTCTAAATCAGAAGAAAGGTGAAATTGTTGAAACAGGTACAGTTGAAATTTTCTCAGGCTTCGGAGGTAACAAAATTTGAATCTCACTTTTTGACATATAAAATGTATATGTTGATGAATCAAGGTCCTTGTTGTAGAATTTGCAGCAAGTTTTCCTCTTTATAAAACTTTGTTATATATTAGTCGTGAGCTAAATTAGTGAAGATGCGCCCAATCCCTTGCTTCTTTCTCTCACTTAAAATTAGACTCACCAAGGTAGTTAATAGTTTTAGTTTTCTTGATGTGCGTGACTTGACGGTCTTTCTCAATCACTCTCCACAACATAATCAATGTCTCTTTTAGATAGTTGAGGTTATTCTTTATTTCCCATTTAATGGAATGGGTCAATAGTGTATAGATACTTCTTTTTCTTGATTGGATAATAATTAATAATATGTGGTCATCTTCTTCATCCTCTTGTGATAGTTTCTTATATTTTTGTTGTTCATCCTTATTGAGGCATGAGTGCTAGCTGTTCATCCATCTTGAAGGAGACAGGGAGAAATTAATATGTTTTGAAAGACTTCTTCCTCTCTTCTTGTCCCTCAATTCTGGCTTAATTCTAATCCTCCTTTATTAGGTGAGGCTAGTGGATTTAGGTCTCGAGAAACAGAACGCGGCAACTATTTTATGACGCAGGCAATAATAAACTAAGTGATAAGGTAGATTTTCTCTCTTTTTTCTTCCATCATGACTTATAACGGTTCACAAAGCTGCAAAATAGTAATTAATTTGCTATAAATAAGTGATGATTAGAAAAAAAAGATTTAAACATATATATGCCAAACCATCCAAGAGTTACATTCCATAACGTTTACAAAATAAAATGTTTACTTGAGCACTTGTTGAATACATATACTTGCAATTATAAGAAGATAATTTATGCAACAAATCTATCTGAAATTTGATACCCTAGCAAATTAAGTACAAGTAGCATCTTAATAAGACAAACTAAAATAGCCAAAATGCAATCAAAAAAATTGTATCTAATTTTTTGCAAGCATAGGGGTGTTGGGATCTTCTGAACCGGCAAAACATTTGCAATGGGGCCCCCAATCAACTTGAAGCGACAAGTTTCACTATTAGCTATTTTGTTATCTTTTCGAAAGGCAGTCCATCCTTCTTTTATGATAACCATACTCCTAGCATACTCTATTTCAACTTTCCATTATACTCCTTCTTCATTAACCAACCTCATATTCTTCATGTTTATTATGTCTGTTTGTTGGGCGAATCTCAACGGGATAGCCTAAAAAACATATTCATCAAACAAACAGGATTATTAGATTTTCAGGGAAATAACTAGAATGTTCAAATCTAGTGAATTTAAAAATACAATGTAAAACTATTAAACCTTACCATACAAGTAGCGTGTGACTTTTTTATAACCATTTCAAAAAACGGATTGTTACCAGTTAAGTCCACCAAACTGTATCGACTGCTATAATTATTTGGACCAACTTTTTCACTTATACTATTATCTTCTCCAACCTCCTTATCTGCAACATCTTGACATAATTATAACAATTAGTACAATATTCTACTAATGAATTCACTTAATTAATAGCTAATAAAGCACTTAAGATGTTTACTTACGTTGCTCAATTACATTTGCATTAGTTTGAGGGAAATTAACTGGAATATGTTCCTCTTCATCCTCGATTACATTAGCGTTAGATTGGAGAATCTTCTTCGATTACATTAGCATTAGATTGGAGAATTAGAATATCTTCGTCGATGATATTAGCATTAGCTTGGGCAACTAGAATATCTTCCTCTTGTTCATCTGATTCAATATCTTGATCTATTGGATATTCAATTTCTGTTTTACTCTGATCATATATAGCGACAGCAAAGTGACAACGCGGGTTGTACGTGAACATTAATACACTCTTGACGCTTATTGAGTAATAGTCACAAAAATCACTCCATCCCTTGGTTAGCCAAATTTGGCCTTGAGAATTTTCCACTTCAACCTCCCAAGCTTTTCCACTCTTGGTTCGCGTGTCAGTTGGGAAATCTTCCCCTAATGAACTAGCTTTTGGAGTTGAGTTAGATTCAAGTAGTGTCATATTTCTTACATACACCACATACGGAAGTTCACGTAGTTATAGAAGCAGTCAAGGAAACTTTTTCGATAAAAATCTCATTTAATCTCATTTTCTGAATAGATACAACCTTTGTGTTCAATTAATCTATATAAATATTATGACATTCATGTTTATAATCACTTATTTCAAGAATGATCTTTTGTATTTTTGATCATTAAGTGAGTCAAATTTTATCACATGAATTGAAAGAAGTGAGTTATTACTGTAAATTGTAGCGAAACGAGATGATAGACTTCATTATGTTTATAGCTAATAAATCATATAAGATTTTACACTTCTGACTCAATTACACAAGGTTGGAAGCCAAGTTGGATATCATCATCTGCTTGTCCTCCATACTTGAGTAGTGTTTCTTTTATGTCTTAAAGGCGCCTTTGACATCAAAGGAATGAAGGCAGAGACGCGACTACAAGGCACTTGTCAATAGACACAATATTTTTACTGGATCTTTTTTAAATTGTCCCACATTTATAGAAAGAATAAGGTATAGATCTTGCAAATTGTATGCCTCATTATCTAGCCTCTACCAATGGAAGGTCAAAGATTCAAATTTTAACAGGATAACAAAGAAAGACATGCCATTTTTGTATGTATAAAATTTGTGAGAACCTCGATTAATTCATGCTCAAAATTAAGTCTAGCCTTGGTTGTGCAAAGGAATATTTTTTTCAAGTGAATGAAATTTAATTTGTCTTCTTACATTGGATTTTGAGAAATTCTTATTGATTAAGACTAAAAATCATTCTATTTAAATCCACAATTGACAAGGAGGGAATTAGAGTAGCACTAACATAATGTTTGGAATAGTCGGTGAATTCAAGAATAAAAAGAGAAATTAAACAAAAAAGATGGTATTAAAGCACTTATGAGACACCAATAAACAACTACACCATGTTTAGGCACAAAATAAAGTTTTTATTATTAAAACTAATTATGTTCTCATGATTCACGACACAAAAGAGGTAGACCTGACATTTTTCCCTAACAAATTCAATAAAGAAATGAAATTAACCATTTGACCATAAACTTTGGATTAAATTTTAAAAACCTATGCTTTAATAATTTTCAAGTTTCAAAATTTGGTTCTTCTTGAGAGAATTTTCACTTTCACTAACAAAAATTTAATTTATTTTAAGTAAAATGTATATTCAAACATAAAATCAAATTTCAAAATATGACATCTTCATGAATTCAAATTTTCAAATTTCAACTTTAAAATTTATGCTCAAATTAACAAGAATATGATTTAGATAAGCGGGGATGCATTTTGGTAATTTGGGGGTGGATTTTGATATAGTGGAGCTTCGACATTTGCATAAGTGGAGGTAGCATTCTTATAAATTGGAGGATTACTGGGATGACTAGCTTGCGTTTAGCAAGCTTGGTTGGAATTTTGGGAAGATCGAGAACGACCTTGGGAATACGACGAGCTTCTGGGGGTTTTCTTTCTCCCATATGAAATAGAAGCGATTTCTTCTCTTTTCTTCTTCAACGTTCCTGATGATCCGGGTGATGCAGCAACATGGGCTATCTTTCCCATTTTCAACCTATCTTCGATAGTCTCACCAACTTTGACTATCTCAACAATTTTTTCTCCTACGAGCAACAGGATTCGATCATAATACTCGGCCTCTTGCACCCGTACGGACACTTTTACAATTTCTTTTTCACACATGGGCGGTCTCACCCTCGCCGCTTCTTTTCTCCACCTATAGGCAAACTCCCTATACCTTTCAATTGATTTTTACTTTATCTTTTCTAAAAAGTATCGAACTGGAATAATTTCTGTGTTGTAATCAAATCAATCGATAAAATCTTTGTCATTCAATACATTCCAGATGAGCCATAAGGTTGCCCACTCCTACGAAAGTGTCAAATTTCGGGATCTTGAACCCTTATGAAAGGTCCAAATTTGGATGAATACATGTCTTCATAACTAAGCCCGGCGATATCAGGGACGCATTCGAGCTCTTTCATGGCTTTCTTGATCTCTTCTTTTATGTCGACCTTTGCCTCTTTCTTCGCCCTCCACTCCCTTTCCTATTCCTCATAATGATCCAGCTCGGAACCGTACACATCGTGCTAGGTAGGGACGGAAATTTGGAAAGTGGTCCTTTTGGGTAAGGGTGGAGCTATAGAGGGACTCTGGGCATTTTGAGCGGTTTGATAATTCTTTGGGTAAGTCTGGGGATTGGTATTCTGATTTAAGTGGTGGTGGGGTATTTGGGGATTGAAATTATTTTGGTTTTGATTTTGCGGTGGTGGAGCGGTTTGAAGTGGGTATTTTGTGGGTGGGGAGGCATTTGGGGATGGTTGTTTTGAGCAGGAGCTTGCTTATCTTAGTTTTGACACTGCCTCGGAAAGGCTAAATCACGTTGAGCTACGGTCTTCTTGCAGCTGCTCTTTGACGTCCGTTGATGTGACCTTCGTATCATCTCGTAACATGAAAGGGAGAACGAAAATTTTTAAAGATAGGGGCCGGGCCTGGAAAGGCTGCTTACGTATCTCACATGGAGAATTCAGGCCCAACATAGTTCGAGTACAAGATAAAACATTTTGATTCATTCGTTCATTACGATTACAAGGAAATTGAAAGACAACAATAGAGTTCTTAAAGATAAAATGATGATGCCACGCTAGTCATTTTCCTTCTTGTTGTAGCATTAGTCTCCTCCTTTCAGATGGCCTAGGAATGAAGGTTTGTAGACGATTTCCTCGCTGTCGGGTGATCGTTTTTGGGACCACTATTAGCCCCTTGGCGTAGAAAGGGTATTTTTCACACATTTGCTGAAGTTTATCAATCACATTGCTATGGAAAGCTTTATTCTTCTTCCTCAATGTGGCCATACTTTCTCTATTCTTCCATTTCCATTGTCAGCTCTTCATCAAGTGACATGCTTTTAGCTAACAGAGTGGCAATAACCGATTCTATCCTCGCCTCTCTCGCTTCTCTTTCTTACACTTTCAAACAAAGCATGTTCAATTTCTCTTGCAAGTCCTCAGTCTCCATCTCAACATCTTTCTTTCTCTTAATCTATGATGTCGGATCCTCATCCAGCGTCAAGATTGCAGCTTTGTAGATTGTGGTGGCCATGTTGACTCTGAGCCCTTCCTCCTTGGCTTCTTGAATTTCTTAAGTGATCTGTTTGATCTTTCTTTGTAGTTCTTCTCCAGTGAGTTCCATCTGGATGTTCTTACCTCTATCCATAGGAGTGATCCTTTCCTTTCTTGAGACAGTAGAATGAATGTTTTAGGAATTGTAGTATAGGAGGTGTCTTTTGAGTGAGAAACTTGAGACTCAGAAATTTTGGTCGGACATTTTGTAACAGAGACTTGTTTGTATATATCTTCTGGAGATTTTTGTCCATAGCAATGATTTCTTCCTTTCCTAAACATTCTTGTGACCCTTTTATGCCAATGGTAGGCCTATCGAATTGAAGGATGTATATGCTTTTTAAACCCGATTTATTATCCTCAAAATACTTCATTAATAGCATCCGAAATGTCTGATAAACATAAAGTAAAGAGAGTTTTAAAAGAATTGCAAAACAAAGTAGAAATAAAGAAGTCCCAAGCAGGGGATGGTAAATAAAATTCAAGCCTCATGTGATCCTTCGTCGAGACTGGTCCTCTTGGCGATGTTGACCTCTTCCCACATAGTATATTTGTTCACCCCTACATGATCTCTCGCCAATCGAACTCCTTATTGATGTTTGAACCCGTCTATCAACTGAATTTGTTGTTCCATGCTATCATCTAACTCTGTCATGCACTGTCTGTCTCTTTGTAAGCTATGACTTTGGTGTCTTTTGAGTGACGAAGTTGATGCTGTAATTCATTTTATCAAACTTCTCTTGAAGTCGGTGAAGTCGGACTATAAGTTTGGCTCCAACATCTGCAATAATGTGGGGAACTTTTGACCAGGCTCAATAGTTCCAGTGAAACTCGTTTTCAACCATTCTTTGTACTCCTTGAAACACTCTGGACGAAACCTGTTTGGTACAGGTTCACCCAACACTTTTCGAGATTGCCACATCCTAAGTATGTCTTCAGCAAATGCAATTCGTCCATTCTAGTGGTCAGTGCAAAATATCTCATATCTGCGATCAGGGGCAGCTCTTGTTTCCCCTCTAGTTTCCTTAGGACTCGACCAGGAGCATATGGTCTAATCCCTCTTAACCTAGCAAATACCAAGTAAGGGACTTTTTCTGTTCTAACCACCATATTCTTAGTTACCACCAAACTGTCTATTGACTCAGGTACGTCTTCTTCTCTCAGCCCTCGAAGCCTCGGATACCAAAAACTTTCTTCTCCAATCTTATTGCAACGATTGTGGTACAACTATCAATCATGATCATGTACCTCGTCTGACCGCTTTAGGGGATCTGGTTCTTTTGGAATATGAGTCTTGATCAAATGTCGAATAATCCACCACTGTACTATCAGATTACAACCTTGAAAGAAGTGTTCTCCGCTCTGATATTTGTCTAAAGCCCTATAAATATCGACCGAAATCATAGTCGCTAAAGTGTAGTACTTTGTCGATGATTTATAGTTCACTCCGTACAAGATGGAATGAGTGACATAAACATGCTAGAATGAATAGTGTATTTTTGTCCTTGAGAGAAAACACTCAAACATATTGCGAATGCGAGGGGACGCATCTCTTTCCATTTTTCTTTTGAAATGAACTCGTCCTTATATTTCTAATAAGCCCTTGCACGTCCGAACCGATAATATAGTTTTCTAAAAGGTATATTTGGGCTGGGGAGCTTGTCCATCCACTCGGTTTTAACCAATGACAGTTTTTCTCTAACTTTAGCGAAATCTCATATCATAGGATTTAGGAGATCTGTATCTGGATGTCGTTTCCTTTTGTTGCACATGGAGACCTTTTGTAACTCGTGAGGACTTCTTCTATTGTTGGCGTCAAATCTACTTCCCCAAATCGAAAGACCATA